GAAAAGGGGAGAAAAAAAAAAACCAAAAATGGGAAAAAAAAAAAAAAAAAAAAAAAAAACTTTCAATGCGATATAAAATGCAATATTTTATTTTTTGGTAGATTTTAGGAAGGGATATAGGGAAATTTCGTCACAATAATATTGGAGAATACCTTTTTTACTCTGAATTTGAAATCTTATATTTGCCTAATTTTTATAAACGGTAAAGTTATTTTTTTGTACACATTTTGTAGGACTCATAAGTATTACTTAATTATCAATCACCCATTTCTATTAATTTATAAATTAAATATTTTTAAACACTTTCTAAACAATCGTTTAGATGGGAAGAAATTTCAAAATGTTTCTTTTTTTTTTTTTTTTTTTTTTTTTTTTTTTTTTTATTTTCTCTTTTTTTTTTGTTTTTTTTTTTTAATTGCACTAGGTTAGGGCTCTGATTTTTGGGGGGCTTTTATAGCGGAAATCTCTCGATAAATTTTGATTTCGAACTCAGAAAACAATCAAACGAACACTAGTTTACCTTGGCTCGACCCGAGACTTTCACTTTCACTTTGGTCTGCTTTCTTTCTCTCTAACCCCACAAAGGAGAAGGGTGACGATGTTAGCAATCCACAAAGATATAGAGAGGAAGAAGAACAATGGTTAAATCTTACTCACAACCTCACATGGCTTCCCTCTCTCTCGGTTGCCTCTCTTCTCTCAACTCTCATCTCCATTGCTACAACACACACACCATCACAAAACGGTTGGGAGATAAATACGTATATATATAAGTTAGTTTAGGTCACTCTAATTGGGCCTAGGGCTCACTAAGCGGGCTACCAATTAACCTAAAATAATGGGCCAATATTCAACTCCATATTAATCACTAAATGGCCCAACTAACCAAATAATCATCCAATCCAAACCCGAATCATCAAAAAGTGTAGTTCATCTCCGAGCCGAGCCGAGCCAAGTCCATGGTGTCGATAAATAATCCGACAACTGTTTTAAATCATCGTCCGGATTATTGGGTATCAAAAAACCCAACAATCTCCACCTTAATGCCCAATAATCTGCAAGCAACCAAAACACACAGTTTATACTTGCACAATCAAGGTAATCCAATAAAATTGGAATAACAGACCTTACCTCATGTTTCCAACTTGAAATACATACGATATTTGCTCCATGTACTCACCAGAGCTAAGATCAAAAACAACCAAGTAGAAACAAGTATTCACGGTGAACAAACAATCATGCGATAAAGATATATATAGGATAACACACACAGATCTTTTCAAAATCATGTTCACACAGAACCACAAATTAACACCTAGTTAATCAGCACATGGTCAAACACATATGCAACAAATGCATAAATGACCCCATGAAAGATCTCACCACACTTATCCTATCCCATTTCGTGTTACTCTCACCTCGAGAACACATATCCCCTCTCATCGCTCACCATGCTCACTAAATAGATCACACAACTCATGTCAAAATGGTAAGTCACAATAGATCCTAAGCTCTCGCAATAATCCTCTATCACCACATCACTTCTCCCAACCTACGTGGATAATGGGACTCCACCTTATAGAAGTGATAGAAGTGCCTCTCTCACACTCCACCTGTACAGGGTCTCTTTCACAGATAAATGATTCTACACATTTGATCACATCTCCACTCGTGATCCAAATGTCACACTCCACATCCCCCGTTACAAATCACCATGTACCCCTAGGCATTTATACTCCACCTTACCAAAGACATCCAACTCATTACTAATACATCTCAAACTCACTATGGCAAATCAAAACATTTCGGTGACAACAAAGGTTAATCCACTCACCAATGCTCCCCAAAAATTCACAAAGAAAATAGTGAAGGTGGCACTCTCAAAGAGAATCGAAGAAAGAGTCGATTACTTCACTACACTCACAAAAAGAGGCTCACAAAGATAAAGAAGGTAACCCTAACATGACTGCCTCACATAATCTCACAAACCACACAATCTCACAAAGATGAAGGAGAGAAACGACTGCCCAACTTTCTTCTCACTACCACACTCTCACACCACTCATAGAGCAAATAGAGTACGCCATAAATCTCAACCCACTATGTATGTAAACATATTACACAAAGTAATAAGTCACTAATTCATGCAATTATACACATCAAACATATTGAAAGTGTAACATTAACATTGCAACATAATTAAGTGATCATATACATGCAGAAAGGATTACACACAGATACAATGTAAGAATTGGGTTTATTCTCTCAATAAACCTCATTAGGATCACTACTCGACCCTAAAGCCACATTCGCCTTGTCTCCATCCTCATCTTTCCTTTTATTATCATCGTAGGACAATTTCTTTCAACTATATTCAAATTTTACCACAGTTAAAATATATGTTATTTTTCGCACTTACCTTAGACCTACAGTTGCCACCAATGCCAAATAATGACCACAAGTAAAGTATTAACACAATTAACATAGAATAGTCCACTAAACTTTCCTAAAGCCACATGCAATTCTAATAATGTAGAAAAATTGACAGCAAATTCACAAAGAATTTAAGGCAAATAATTCCTAGGCCTAGCAACAGGCAATGGTTACCCCTTCATGGTAACCCCAAACCTAATGTCACCCCACACGATGACCTCTAATGCAAAAAATAAATTACTCTACACATTTATTTCAGCTGCAATAATAAAAAGCAAAGAATACGATACCGACCGGACCACATCTGAAGGTCCGTAAATATCAAGACATGCGAATTCACAACTTTAAGAATATCACTATTCATCCTAAAGTCAACAGCAATCACAGTAACACGAAAACAGCACCCGACACCCGAACGTCCAAGGGCAAAATCGTCCAACTTTTATTGTATTGCTCCAAACTGAAATCTGAAAACACTGCAGGGTCCATCTCGTCATGGGGAAGATTCTGTCTGAAGACCACTTCGCCAGAATCAGACGGACGCGCCCTCACACGCCATTGTCGTCTTCCCTATGCGCTGTGCCGGCCAACCACACGTCGACGACCTGTCACCCTTCTGGCTTTTTCTCCGCCTGCACAGTCTACCGGTGGTGTCCGTTTTGTCAAACTCCTTTTGGTTTCACCAGAAAATGCCAAAACAGATCCGGTAGAAAATTGGAAAAAAAAAATCGAACAGTTTCTGCCTCTAATTTTCAGATCCGTTTTTTACCACTTCCAGCCCGTTTTTAGCCCCAAAAATCACAGATTTATCAATAACACAAGCTCTGATACCATTTGTAGCGGAAATCCCTCTATAAATCTTGATTCCAAGTTCAAAAAATAATCAAACGAACACCGATTTACCTTAGCTCGACCCGAGACTTTCACCTTCACTTTGGACTGCTCTCTTTCTCTCAACCCCATAAAGGAGAGGGTTGGTGGTGTTAGCAATCCATAAAGGTATGAAGAGGAAGAAGAACAGTGGTTGAATCTTACTCACAACCTCACATGGCTTCCCTCTCTCTCGGTTGCATCTCTTCTCTCAACTCTCCTCTCCATTGCTGCAACACACACACCACCACAAAACGGTTGGAAGATATATATATATATATATATATATATATGTTAGTTTAGGTCACTTTAATTGGGCCTAGGGTTCATTAAGCGGGCTACCAATTAACCTAAACTAATGGGCCAATATTCAACTCCATATTAAT